TACGAATTAAGCACTATCATCAGGCTGCTAAAATGAAAGTAACAATTTTTTTCTGGGAACAATTCTTATTATTAAATGTGCCTTTTATATGTATATCAAACTGCAATTAGCAGAATGAGAGAGGTCAAAGTTCCAAAAGCCTGGAGGCCCGCTTTTCAGAGATATTCGCAACCTTGACATTTATTGTGTGTGACAATCCTGAACGTGTAGTACGGATTAAATTTCCCAAAAGCGTCCGCCTCACCATCCCGAAATACCTCAAGGGAGGATCCTATTGCGATTCTTCTAGGGCGTTAACCCTGTCACTCTCGTCGTCCGAATCTTAAACCACATACGTTTATTAGCTGACCCAAAAACTAGTGCAAGTGCAAGTACGATAAATAACACGGTGATCACTTTTTCCTCGTTTTTAATATTAAACAAGTAATCATTTCTGTTTGATTCCTGTATGCTTACATAATCAACGATAAATGCTCACAATCGGTCTTGACTAAAAGAATTAAAGCTTTTAATAAATCATTTTATGCGAAAGTAGTTAGCATTTACGAATTAAAAAGTGCCATTACAATTAAACTTTAAATGGATTTTATTATTAATTATATTTTATTATCCATTATCCATTATAGAAAATTTAACGAAAACTTCCATGTTTTTCAACACTAATTTTAATTAGTTTAATTTTCTTTAAGCCACTTCATATTGTTACCCAGTTATAGAATTTCAGAACGATTTTTATCACATGAAAAAGAGAACTTAACTAAAATGATAACTGGTAAATATACTTACTACTTATATCATATAATGCACACACTTATTCTTTTTATTAATTTCACAAAACACATTCTAATTTTTTTCTTGCAATACTACTCCCTACAAGCGATTTATGCGTTACAATCTGGCTGCTTCACAACCGACTGTCTCATTGAAATCTCCAGGGACTTGAAAACGAGAGGAAACGATCTACTAAATGATTCTTCCCGTCTTCGTGACGATAAGTGGGAATCGCGGATCAGCGTACTCACTGTGGTATCAGCGCCATATATCTGAACTAAAGCACTCGCCGCGTTAATTTCTCGAACCCCGACGGGTTAATCAACTCACGAGCGAATGGACCATCGAGTGGACCATCGAAGGGAATGCGTTGGTTAGGATTAAGGGCACCTGATCAATCGGGAATATGCCGGGATCTTTCAGCCAATATAACTCCCTTTAGGAAACTAGCGAACTCAATTCTGTGCCGCGAAACAAGCAGGGAATTGCATTGAAATCTTTCGCTAGCTTCTTTAATTTTTTATCGCTCACTACTCGATTCAGAATCGTTTTAATCGGCGCGTTAATTGATCGGGATTTCGGTGACACTCCCCGACACGAGAGCACTTCTGCGAGAGCGAAAGTTTCATCCTATGACATCGAGGAATACCTCGAGAATCACGTTGTCCTGCACGAGCGTTAGCCCTCGATCTTCCACCTGGTCTTAAATCCCGACGCATTAATCGACTGTCGTCTCATTCCCGAGTGCCTCGTCCAGCGTTCACGGTGGTTGCGAGAGAAGAAGAAAAAGAAGAAGAAGAAGAGAAACGCAAGAAGGTCGGCGCTTATCGCGAGTGCCTCTCGGCGGGAGCGAACGACGGGGACCACGAGGGTAAAAGCCTTCCCCGAAGGTGTGAGAAAACTACCCCTCCTTTTCCGCGAGCCGGCACGCACGTTCTCTCCCGTTCTCCCGGCTCGCGAGACGAGAGAGCACTGCGTGCTCCTCTGAAAGCAACCCCTGATTCGAAGCGACCCTCCCCCGCTACCCTTGCTCCTGAACTGCCGCTGCTCCTCCCTCTCGCTCTCTCTCGCTCTCTTTCTCTCTCTTTCGCCGTCGCCAGCTTCCCACTCCGTATCTGTTTCTCTCTTTCTCTCTTCCTCATTTCTTTCGTTCCTCTCTTATCTCTCTTAGAATTCTATCTCAGCTATCTCTGTCTCACTGCTCGTCTCGCTCCACCTTCGCATCTTTCGTCTTTCTTCCGCATCCTTCTACATCTGACGTTTTCGTCTCGCTTAAGAGATCCCATCCCCGCGACGCTATCATCGTCGACGTACACTCAATTTTGGGGTAGCTTCAAGCTGTCCCTCAATGACGGGCGAGAATTGGCCGATCGCCAATTTTTGCGGACACAAAAGTGAGTTTTCTCAGTGCCCGTCCCCGCCCACGTGGAATTTTGCCACTTAACCTTTGTGAGACTTTGCTCACGCCTTCGCGGGTATATCTTCTCAATTTGGAATATATGCGCATCCTTCGAGATATGTTGGCCGGCGCTGCTGTTTTTTTTAGAGGCACGATCGTTATAAAATATATAATACTAGTCGCGCGCGGCGAGAGAGATGTTGCGACAAAGTGCTTTTGAAAAGGTTACCTCGATCTTGCTTCTTAATAAGATCTAATATTCCAACGGATATTTGTCACGTCTGTCCCTACATTTCCATCTCTTTGATCTTCATCCATTTATGGAACACTTATTGTTGGAAAAAATAAACTTTACGTGAAAGCTTTGTGATTGAACAACAGCTTGACGAATATTGTAACGATAACAAATCGTTTAAATTTTCTTTTGCTCGTTAAAATTTTATTTTAACAAATAACAGTTAAGTTTGCTGTTTGTAGCGAAATCGGAATCTAATCTCACGTCGCACCGTGTACAAAATCAACAGCCCGTTAATATCTCATTATTTTGACGGGACAAAATTTACTACAGTCATAAACGAGATCGGGCAAAGAGCAACGAGGAAGTGCATTGTATTTCAGTCGCTGCATTTAACTCAATGCATTTAATGTTTATATGCAAAATGCGCGTTGTTTCGCGAACGCCTCGCATAACGACTTCGGCGAAATTTTTGTACATATATACGTATAATGTTTTACACGTTTCAACACTCGCGCATGAACAATGCGCTTACATGTCGTTTCCGTGACGTCACTTGCAGTGCTTTACAAAACGGGTGCCAACGCATTTCATCCGATGACTAAATCCCATCCCGGTCGCAACAGCGGCTATACATTATATATATATATATATATATATATATATATACATTATAACTTCTTTCGAAATTAAGACATAAAGACATTAAAGACATTAATATTCAGGTGTTGATACAGCTGGTCCCACAGATATAAAGAATAATTGTCGCGTGGACTCGGGACGAAGGGGACAATATACACTGGACAAGCCGTATAAACGTAACGTACGGAAAACATTTTTTTTTCGCGTGCCGAGATATAATTTCAATAAATCAGGGATAAGTGGTGCAGGGGAGAAAGGCCACGGGTTCGATGTTACCACGACTGAGAAACGCGGTCGACGATGGTGCCGGATTAATTTATCGCCGGCACCGTCGCGTATAAGTGTGGCTGGCGACATTTATTTTTACCGACTTTCGCGGTACGGTGCGGCGATTGGATGAGGCCTACGGGAATATTTCTTGATTTCGGGTAACGTAGTTCGGTATACGATGTTCCTCGCAATATAATCGCGGTTTATGTCCCGGGCCAATTTTCACAGGTTGTCCGCCTTTATTCGTATTATTATCCCGAAAGTAATATTCCAAAAGACACATTGCCTTCGCTAAGCGAATTCTCCCTCGTATCGGTTTTATTTTCATTTAAATGAGGTTCATGAATAAATTTATTTGTTACATTAGGTTTATTGTCTCGCGTTTTTCCATAACTATTTCCCGTCAGCGGCAATAATTAATCTTTTTTAATATGCAAAATATTAATAATTTCGGTGTTTAACTTTCGAAAAGTTCTTGCATGTGAGAAAAGCCAAGAAGTTATGAAAATCAATCTGCAACGCTGAAATTAGAATCGTCTTATATAAACTTATCAATTGTCTAGAATTGCATTACTACGTGTCAGCAAAATTGTATAACGACATACCCATTATTTCTTGGTGTTACGTCACGATCCAAGATTACTTAATAATTGTCTTTACGTCTCCGATTCTTAG